TAGAATGCAAATCCTTTAAAAGACAAATGTTTATCAGAAATTTCCATGAATGAGACAAAATGCACTCTAAACTCTAAATTTTCTCCCAGTACAATTTATTATTTTTTTGGAGGGGTCCAGTCGTGGGGCCTGAACTCTGGGTCTGGGCGCTGTCCCTCAGCTCTTCAGCTCAAGGCTAGCGCTCTACCACTTGAGCCACAGTGCCACTTCCGGCTTTTTTCTTTTTTGCTAGTGTGGTGCTGAGGAATCGAACCCAGGGTCTCAGACATGCAAGGCAAGTGCTCTACCACTGAGCCACCTTCCCAGTCCCAGTGTGTTATCCTTATAAGATAATTTATAAGTTAACTTGGTAAGACACCAAAAGTTTTCCAAGATATATAATCAACTGTATATTAACTGGTGAAAAGAATGGTTAAAAAATATATAGGATATTAATTAAAAGGAAAAGTACTTTTTGAGATGGCAGGTTTGTACCATCAGCACTCAGGAAGCTTGAGGCAGGAGGATCACAAGTTCAAAGCTAGCCTGGGCTACAAAATGAGAACATCTGTTTCTCATTTTCTGATTCATGAGATGTTCAGAGTCCATCAACTGCTATTTGAGTTTAAGTCTTTCATGGTATTTTTAAAGCTTTTTTTTAGTAGTGCTAGGGATGGAACCCAGAGTTTAGTGCACAATCAACAAGTGCCCTATCACTATGGTACATCCCCAGACCTATAGGTAGAATTTTATTAAAAAAAACTGTATGCAAACAAATTTGCCTCTGAAAAAGAAAAGCACACCCAAAATATTCCTACTGGATTCACTATGGTCTTCAGGCCCTGATTCTATCCAGATGGCAAAGTTAGATAAGAGTTCAGCTAGTTTCCTTTGGAGGCCCTCTGTATCACAGGCTAGTCTCCCTGACTAGCACTTTCAGCAAGACTTTCCCCTCAAGATCTCTCATCTATTCACATCAGGGATCACAAGAAGACTGGGGCTAGCAGATTGTCTCTCATGATCTAGGTTTAGGTCCCCATAATATCTGGGTATATTTCCTAAGCTGACCTCCTACTTTCAATTTCTCTCCTTCTTCTAGACAAGCTGGTGGCTCACACCTATAATCCTAGATATTTTAGGAGGCTGAGATCTAAAGAATCAAGGCTTGAGGCCAGCCCAGGCAGGAAAAGTCTATGAGACTCTGCCTCCAGTGAGCCAGAAAAATGCTGGTGACATGGTTCAAGTAGTAGAACACTAGACATGAATAAGAAAGCCCAGTGAGAATACAAAGCTCTCAAGTTCAAGCCCTGGTACACACACACACACACACACACACACACACACACACACACACACACACACACTCCTCTCTCTCTCTCTCTCTCTCTCTCTCTCTCTCTCTCTCTCTCTCTCTCTCTCTCTCTCTCTCCCCTCCCCCACATACATACACAAAAAGAACTTAAGGTATGCATCAACCGAATTCCTACATTCTCAATTAAAAAAATTATTTCATTCAACTTGTAGTATCTTAGTTTGGACTGTAAAAGTTGAATAATAAATTAGAAAAGCAGGGGGAAAATTCCTACATTCTCAACCACTTCTCTGACCCTTCTTTCCTCTTGCCCTCCTTCAGTGTTTCCCCTGAATTTCAGAATTGTTTGAGGAGTTTTGTTAAACTCCCCATGAGCAGGTCTCACCACCACATGCCAAAGATTTCTGGGCGTCAGCAGGGTTAAACACTCCCCCTGAAAATTGCAGCTCAGGGTAAGGTGGATCAGTCTGACTACAAACTTGTACTCCCCTTCAGGGAGAACTTGGTTGCCTAGGGAATATTTCTCTCCCACAGCTCTGGCACCACTGGAACTAGAGGTGAGACAGTGACTTACTTCTCATCACCTCCACAATACTCCATCTCTCTTCCCTGAAAGCTGGCTTTCCAAAGCTTAGGCATTTCCTCAAACATACAAGGCACCCTTGCTTGTCTGTTTCTTTGCGTTTGGTTTTTTTTTCCCTCTACAGGAAAGCTCTGTGTCCCTCAGTCATCTAAAAAGAAAGGTCCTCTTGTTTCTGTAATACCTACTTCATTCATCACCTACTCCCCCCCCCATGAGCCTTTCTGGCCTATCTAAGCTAAAAGGTATTAAGAAGACACTTCTTTAGTGTCTTCTTTTGCCCTTGAGTGCTCTTTTCGTACACATACCACTTCTAGTGAGGAATGCTTGCTGTGTAAAGAGAGAAAATTCTGTGTAAGTAGGAAAATTCTGGACACATGAGTCTAGAGAAATCTCCAATTTATGAAATGTGGCACTAATAAAAGTCAAGAGATAATGTTTTGTACCCCCAAATCTTTTCCACATTAAACATAATTACACTGAAGCTGTGGCTAAATCATGATGGCCATAAGAAATCTAGCAGAGATCAATGTTACTGAAGGGACTTTAGCTATTCGAGTAACAAATAATGCCTTCGCAGAGAACTGACCTACCGAACAAGCACAAACTGCAGATGGCATTTTATTCAACTTACATGCACACACACTCACACACACACACACACACACACACACACACACACACACACACACACTGAGCTAAGTGTAACCAACTCTCACTTTAACATGCTCCATATGAAACAGCTTATTTGAATGAGTTTTTGATTGTTCATGCTATGAGTCAGTCTATTAAAAAATCTCCTGTTCTGAACTTAGCCATGTTCTGGTTTCTGTTCTTTCTACACAAAAATATGGAATACAAACCACTTGGCTCTTCACATATTCACTTGTTCCTTCTTGAGCTTACCTATATAAGAAAAACAAAAGATCTGCTTCTTTGGATTTTTTACCCTTTCCTAACTCTGGAAATCCCACTGGTACAACTTGATCCAGATGTACATGTCACCAGGTTGCTTACTATAAGTTGGAGCCAGGGAAATGGCATTTTATGCTGAAAACCTTTAACACATATCTCTCAAGTGACAGAAGTAGACAAAATTGTATTATATGTAAAACATGTTTAGAATCTGGAAGTCATATACTATTAAGTGGCTACCTAGTTTTTAAAAGTGTTCCTTTATAGGGAACAAAACATTTTCTCATTCCTTACAATCTAGTCTTGCCCATTTATCAAGTTAAATAATATGTATTTTTAAAATTGACTTTATTGTTGTTTTAGAGGTGATATACGGTGGGGTTACCTTTACATACATCAGGTATTAAGTACATTTCCTTTCTCATAGTTCACTTTCATCAGTGACTAGTGCAGCCAGTGCGCTCCACTGCTGCACTTTTTCTCTGTTTTTCCTCTGATTCTGTGCCCTCCTCCCACACTCCCACAGATGTGCACATGAATACACCCACCGTATATATAAGGTAAGGAATACAGAATTATCAAAAAGAAAAAGAAAAAAACAAATTAAGACAAATTTCCTTTGTTTGCATACCTTTGTAGCTCATTTCAGTATATATTATTTTAATAATATGGATATTTTAAGACCAAAATCTTTACTTAAATCTTTTTCAAAGCTACTAATAAACATAAGGATTTTAATTATTCGAAGTGTCTTGGTTCCTCCATTAAATCTTATAGTGATGGGATTTCTGTCTCAACTTCATAACAGCAGACTCTGCAGATATGCACATAGGTATATTCCCAAAGTCAGTTTGATGGTTCATATATAACAAGAAATATTCAAAAAAGCTTAACAACTGAGCAGAGGCCTGGAGTACTACAGAACCAGCACACACACACAAAAAAATGAAGTAATCACATACATTCAAAAGCAAACAAAAGGGAAGTGGCGCTATTCAGAGTGTTTTAAGTTCTCTGTAGTAAAATTTGCTTTAAGGTGATAAAAGCAACCTCTTAAAAAAGTAAACAAGACAGCTGGGCACCAGTGGCTCATCCCTGTAATCCTAGCTACTCAGAAGGCTGAGATCTAAGGACACAGTTTGAAGCCAGCCCGGGCAGGAAAGTCCATGAGACTCTTATCTCCAATTAAGCACAAAAGGCAGGAAGTAGAGATATACTCAAGTGGTAAAGTGCTAGCCTTGAGCACAAAAACTCGGGAACAGTGCTCAGTCCCAGAATTCAAGCTCCAGGACCAGCAAAATAAAAATAAACAAGGGCTGGTCACCAGTGGCTCATGCCTGTAATTCTAGCCACTATAAAGGCTGAGATCCAGAGGACTGAGGTTCAAAGCCATTCCAGGCAGAAAACCAAGAAACTCTTATTTCCAATTAACCAACAAAAGAGGACAAGAGATCTGGCTCAAGTGGTATAAGGGCAGCAATGAGAGGAAAAAGCCAAGTGAAGGTCTGAGTTGGAACTCCCAGACCAGCAACACCAAAAAAGAGTAAGCAAGGAATAGAAAGAACATCAAGGACAGAAATGGAACAATCTGAAAAGGCAGACTATCTGAAATCCCAAACTAATGTGCAACCAACTTGAGTTTTTCTATTTTTCTAGGGAAAATTACTGGCATAACATTTAGAACTTAATTTAATCACATAATGTAGATATAAGGTGACAGATGAGAGAGATTTGGAAACCTTTTTTAGTGCTACCCTAAGGCTGGTTTAACTTGCAGTGTTTCCTAACCACTAAGCTCTAAGGATATTAACAGGCATTTTATAAATAAAAAGATGAATAATCATATAAGCTACAAAACTGCCAGCTTTAGAAAAATTGGCCAGTTTGGTTTTGGTTTTGTGTTTCGTTGTGTTTTGTTTTGCCCTATGACTTGAAAGCTTTCAGGAAGTTTGTGCATACTTTGAATCTCCACAGAACCCTACTAACACCTCCCAGAGACTGTTTCATTACTAGCAATTTGGGACAATTATGGTCCTCATTCTCCTAAGGTCAATATGGGGAAATTAATAAGGCATAAAGACTAAACATAAACATGGGCATACATCTCAGAACTTTATATATTGAATATATGTCCCTTTTATGGTGGACAAAAGGGAAGGATGGGCAAGGGAAATAGCCTGGAGATTTTTTCTGTCTGCATTTCTTACACGTCTGTTCCTGTCGTCTGAAATCTCCATAGTTAGGCAGCTGAGCTGGAAGCTTGGGCTGAGTGCTGGGCTCAGTGTTTACATTGTGCTGGGAAATCTGGTAGACAAAGAAGCAGACTTATTTGTTAACAGTTATTCAAGAATTCCCAGTCCCCCTGTCAGATCCTCAGTCGCTAGGCCCCACAGCAGGCAGGAAGCCCTCCTCAAGCAGCTCAGATGAGGACTGCTGATAGCAGCAGCACAGTGCACAACAGGAAGGAACTACTGTCATTTGTGCCACAGGGGAAAGATAAGGGGGTTGATTGCAAAAGCATTTTCAGACAAGTCTTCAACATATTTATCCAGGTGGCTCGAGAGCAGAGGCTGTGAAATAAGCAGCTGGTAGATAAGCATCCCCAAAATGCTTGCTAATTTTGTTGCAACCAAGTCCAGGTTGGCTGTGAATGCCAAATGGAATCCTCCATTCATCTTGGTTCCCCTTAAGAGGATGTGATGCAAACAACAGTTACAAGTGCAAGGGATTTACTGTCTTGCTATAGATATGGGTGCTTATACTCTAAGGATAGGAAGAGAGGGAGCCTAAATACTTCCATTTGGGAACTGGCTTTACTATTTACTAGTTATGCTACCCTGATGGCATGCTTAAGTCCAATGTGCTCTAACTTTCTCATCTGTTAAAAAAAAGAGGGGGCTGGGAAGGTGGCTCAGTGGTAGGGTGCTTGCCTTGCATGCATGAGGCCTTGGGTTCAATTTCTCAGTACCACATAAGCAGAAAAAGCTGGAAGTGGCACTTTGGCTCAAGTGGTAGAATGCTCAGCTTAATCTGAAGAGCTGAGGGACAGTAGTCAGGCCCAGAGTTCAGGCCCCATGACTGACAAAAAAAAAAAAAAGAGGAATATTCGTGTCTGCCAGATAAGGCTTTTATTTTATTTGGTCTAGTCCTGGACTTGAACTCAGGGCCTGGGCACAATTGCTGAGCTTATTTTGCTCAAGGTTAGCACTCTACCACTTGAGCCACTTCCTGGCTTTTTGGGAGTTTGTTGAAGATGAGAATCTCACGGTCTTTCCTGCCTAATCTGGCTTTGAACTCTGATCCTCAGATCTCAGCCTCTTAAGTAGTTAGGATTAGAGGTGTAAGCTACCAGCACCCACCTCAACTTCATTCTTATAAAATGCTTTTATAAAAGCATTCTTATAAGAGCATTTTATAAGAATGAAGTTATACACAGAAAAGCACTTAGTACAATCCATGGTCTATGGTTTATGCTCAGTTAACATAGCCAATAATTTTGAATAAGCAGAAATTAGGATCAAGGAAAGGCATAGGTTAGAACTAAGGTTTGGCATTACATAATCAGTATACACTCAATAGCTCCTTGCCAACTGATCAATATCTCTTAAAGTCAATGCTGAATTTCCTAAAGGGAGTTCTTACTTGTGTCTGTGCAGGTCAGGAAGAAGTGGGCTTTTATTATTCTTCAAACTAAAGCAGGAAGCCAATACCTCATGGTATTTGTACCTCATGGTTGAGTGTATGCTAAAGACTTTCTAGTTGAAGAAAGAATAAGCAAATGTTTACAAAGGTTTTAGTAACTCAAGTGATGAGATTAGCCACATGGAAAGGTATGCTCTGAGCCATTCAGAGCAATAAGATAGGAAGTAGCACTGTCCATAGAGAAATCTCTCAATATTTTCTGCCAAAAGTTAGAAAGGACCTTTAAATATAGAAAGCTTATTTAACAGTAATTAATGAAAGGAAAGATCTGTAGTACTATATACCACACTCCATCAATTTACCATTTCCCTCTCACTTTCAGATCTGTGAAGTGTGGTGATAAGTAAGGCCATAGTAGTACATGTAAATAAGCTACAATTCATTTATAGGGAAAACAGGTTTGTATGTCACACTCTCCCAACTTCTGCTATTCCATCTTATTGTTCTAACCGAAAACAACAGCCTGAAGAAAGCACCATGAGCCAGATAACATCATATTGATGACCATTTATTGTTAGTTCACGTGGAATTAATGGAGCTTCTAAAATGGTGGTGGAATATGGCCTCGTGTACTATGCAGAATGTACTATATGGAACAAACGCATTCCCTAATAACAACTGGAGGGATATAGCTACTACAGTGTCTTTATGACAACCATACACAACCTCAATGGCCAAAAATAAACCAAAATCACACATTTCTTAGTGGCTTATCGAGGAAATTTTCCCTCTTGCACATGAAGCTTGGAAGCTGGCTGGATGAAAAAAAAAAATAAGCCATTCTGCTCATCTGGACATTATCATGGGAGTCTGACCATTTCTGTGACTATCAACCCTTACAAAGAAGCACAGTGGTCACACAGCTTGTCTACTACCAAATGGTTTGCAAAAATCAAATCTATCTCCTACCTGTGATGGACAAGGTCTTGGAGGGAGTGCAGGTGGTGGAGGTAGCAATCCCGATTTAGTAGCTGAAAAGAAATACATATACTATTAAGGACAATCCCCCCAAAAGAAGACAAAACAAAACTATTCTACTCAGGTAGGAATAGCAATAACATTGAGTACATTTTAATCCCTCTGAAGGCATAATTGTCTTAAATAAATTGTCTTAAAATTGTCTTAAATTCCAATTCCTTTTTCATCTTCCTCTTCCCTCTAACTCACATATTTATATAGTCTGAGTACGATGAAGACAGGGTAAAACAGTAAAGAAAAGTCTCCTTGTGATCAAAACTGGGACTTAACACAGGAAACGTGGTCAGTTCTCATTAACCTGATGTTAATGATTTCGTTTCAAATGATCCAGGCCAAAAGTCATAGTCTTCTTTAGCTTCTTGCTTATTTCCCTAGCTCTCAGCTATGCAATGCCTGTTAGTTTAATGCATAGACTGCAGAAAGGAAAGGAGTCTTGCAGAGGAGGTAGCTTTGCCACTATGTGCATGCTCCCATGAATGGTTCAACCAGCAATGGAAGAGGCCAAAAGTGAAGGACTGAAATGACTGATTTATTTCAAAGATCTCCATTTATTTTTTCCTCCATGATCATTATTACTTTGGATAACTAAATCTGTTTCAAAAATAAGCTGGCCATATTTGAAGGGTCTTTTGAAAGGAAGCTATAGACTCAACATTTTTTTAAATTTTGTGAGATACAGAGAATATTAAGCCACAGACATCTGAATTGTAACTTAACAATGAAAATTGCTGTTTATTTATAAATAAAGCCCATGATCACAAGCAAGAAATAAGTTTAGGGTAACATACTGGTAAGTTAAACTACATTCTTTATAAACTACTTTTAAAAACACCATGTATATATAATTGTATATAGTTTATTCACAAATCTGTATGTAGTACGTGTGCTTAATCTGGACAATATTCTTTGCCTTAAAACAAATAATTATAATATACTAAGAGTATGAATGTTTTTGAGAATCATTGTTTACCTTTGTTGAATCAGACAGGCTAGAAAATGGAGTTTGCTGTTTTCCACAAATATAATTCACATCACAGAGATGTTCAATCGGTGCCAGTACATGATAGAATATAACCATGTGGGCCCCATCACTGATGTCTCTCAATCTTTCTGTCATTAAAATTTATGAGACACATCACGGGGTCAAAATTCCAGAGGTTTTTGACCTCTTTTTTGTTATTTTGACCTCAGATCCTTTGTTAGTGAACACGCATCAATAACAAAGTAGGTAGCAGAAGTAATGCTGAAAGCTTTCAGGAATTTTTCATTCATTTCAGGGCTCCTACTTTACATGCTCTCACAGATTGGGCCTTTCAATTACTAACTACTTTCAAGACAATACAAATAAACCTGAAAAATGTATGTATCCTTCTAAGAGGAAGGTCAAGCAATTGCACCAGAATAAAATATTGTGGTAAGTCAGCCCTTTATTAACAAAAGATAACTCAAGAAATGGTAAGCAATTTAATTAAATTAACTTCTGCTGTTGGCCAACATGGTAATGCAGATGCAGACCAGATTTACTTACCCATCTGAAACAACCAAGCACAAACAGAAAAACATATGAAATAACAGTTTTCAAGATATTAGAATAAAACATATATAAAAAGAAATTTCAAAACCCCAGAAAATCAGGCAACAAACATGATGATCCCTGCGACTGGCTGTCTTACTCAATACCTTAAGAATTACTGTAAACAATAAGCCAGGCACTGGTAGCTTACACCTTTAATCCTAGCTACTCAAGAGGCTGAGATCTAAGGATCACAGTTCAAGGCCAGCCCAAACAGGAACACCAGTGAGACTCTGGTCTTCAATTAACCACCAAAAAGCCAAACGTGGAGCTGAAGCTCAAGTGCTACCGTGACAGCCTTGAGCAAAAATGCTAAAGGACAGCTATGCCAAAGTCCTGAGTTAAAGCCCCAGCATCAGCACACAAAAAAACCCTCATAATCAGACTTGAATCTGGATCTAGGTCTTGTTTTCAGCAACTCTGTGTGTGTGTGTGTGTGTGTGTGTGTGTGTGTGTGTGTGTGTGTGTGTGTGTGTGTGTGTGTGTGTGTGTGTGTGTGTGTGTGTGTGTGTGTGTGTGTGTGTGTGTGTGTGTGTGTGTGTGTGTGTGTGTGTGTGTGTTTGCGCATGGTCCTAGACTTTGAACTCAGGGCCTAGGCACTGAGCTTTTTTCCCCTCAAAAATAGCACTATACCACTTGAGCGACAGTTACACTAGTGGCTTTTTGGTGGTTAATTGGAAATAAGAATCTCACTTTCCTGCCCAGGCTGGCTTCAAACTGTGATCCTCAGATCTCAGCCTCCTGAGTAATTAGGATTACAGGCATGAGTTACAGGCACCTACCTTCTGAATACAAAATTTTTAAAAGGACAAATTCTCTATTTTAAAAATATGTGAGTCTATTCCTGAATATGCCTTTGAATAAAATTATATTACCTCTCCAACATCTCAGATAGCAAACCATTTAAAATGGAACCTTGCTTCAATTTCTCACAACTAAACTTGAAGCAACCAAGTGCTATCCCAGGCATGTGTCCATTGTTCATTCTGAATAATTTAGCAGATGATATTAGTGATTTCTAAGATTGGAGAGGAGCCAAAACAGTTGCAAATATTATCAGCAGTTTTGTTTTTCCATTTCAATACCTTCACCAATTATTTTCTGATCTAACATACCTACTGAGAGCTTCTTTTTAAAGCTGAATTTAAATAGTGATAATGGGCATATTTGTCTTCTCTTGATCAATGGGAAACATCCGGTAGGTCCCATAAAATACAGTGTTCGTTGTAGGTTTGGTATAGATACCATTTAAGCAATTATAAAAAATTCCCATCTATTCTTGTCTCGAGACTTTTTTGCATGATAATTTGATGCTGAATTTTAACCAAATCTACAATGTCATCTGCTTATATAATAATGTTTTCTCCTTATAATTTGTTAACATAGTGAATTACATAAAGGACTGTGGAACATTAAAGCATCCTTGCAGACCTGAGGTAAATCTCAACTTGCTAGGTTTAGTTGGTTAATATTTTTTAATTTCATCATTTACTTGTACAGAGATGTTACAACTGTATGAGTCAGGTTAGGAGTACATTGCATCTTGATCAGTGTCACTGCAGTTGGTTAATATTGTAGTATTTTTGCAACTGCATTCATGAATGACATTGGCAGTCATGGTTTCCCTTTCGCATATGGTCTTTGTTTGTACCTAATTTAGCTGGAATGCATTCTCCTTATTTATACTCTGGTATAGGAAGTTTTTCCAGTAGACATATCTGGGCTGGAATTTTATTTTATTTAAATAAGATTTTGTGAATGATTCCATTTCTACGGCTGTTATAGGTTTTTTCAGACTTTCTAATTCTTGTCAGTTTTAGCAAATTGTATTGTTCTGAAGATTCGTTCATTTTATCAAAAATTTTCAGTTCATTTTTTTATACCCCCCCCCATTATGAACATCTTAATCTCTGAATGTGTAATTATCTTTCTGCATTCCTCACGCTGTTTGCATGATTACTCTGATTTTCCTTCATTAGACTCATTCGGCATGTGTTAAATCTTTTTTAAAAAATCAAAATGTTTTGAGCCCATATATTACTTGTTTCCTTTGTTTTATTGTTATCATCTCATTTACATTCTTTGAGCTTTTCTTTTAACATTATTTTTAATTTTATTATTATTTATTATTACTCTTGGTACTGGGGGAGACTTAAAATTGACCCCAAGGCTTCATGCTACACATATAGCAGTCTATTACTGAACTGAACTTCTAGCTCATCTCTTATTCTCTTATTTACCTTAAACTGATTTCTTTTTTGGTGGTGGTGGTGGTGGTGGTTGGGTTGTGGGGCTTGAACTCAGGGCCTGGGAGCTGTCCCTGAGCCTCTTTATGCTCAAGGCTAGCACTCTACCACTTGAGCCACACCACTTCTGGTTTTTGAGTGGTTTATTGGAGATAAGTCTAATGGGGACTTTTCTGCCCAGGATGGTTTAAAACCACAATCCTTAGATCTCAGCCTCCTGAGTAGTTAGGATTATAGGCTTGAGCTACCGATGCCCAGCCTTTAAACTGATTTCTTAGCTCACTAATTTCTACCTTTTCTTTTTTTCTATTGTATGTATTTATGGTTATCAGTTTTGTTATAAGTAACCATTATTAAAATTTCATAAATTTCTTCATATTGGATCCAATTATTTAGTGCTAAAATCTTACTAATTTCTATTTCTATTTCATTTATGGTGTTACCTTCTGTCTTCAGTATACCCTTCAGGTCTTTAAGAGCATCTGCTAGTAGCAAACTTGGTTACTGACACAGTATTTCCTCAAAGTACATTGAAGATACCATTCTATTGTCTTTTGCTTTCATTACTGCTGTTGAGAAGTCAGCTTTCAGTCAAGTCACTGTTCTTTGTCAGTAATCATTCTTTTCTCTGACTGCTTTTAAGAACTTCTCTTTTAGTATTCAGAAGTATTATACTTTATTCTTTATCTTCACATGGACTACTATCTTTTTCTTTATCTCCTACTTGAGCTTCATTTGAATTTGGAGCCATGTGTTATTCCCATTAACTTTGGTCGATTCTCAGTGCTTTTTAAGTACTGTCTTCCAACCATTTTTTCTCACCTCTCTTTTGTAGGCACTTTGTTTAATTATGCTGTGCTTTGGATAATTTTCTAAGATGTATGGTCCAATTAACCAATTATGACTTCAGCTTTACTTAATGTCCAATTTGAATTGCAGTTAGAATTTTTTTCTTTTCTATAAGTTCTATTTGGTCTCTTTCCTCTTTTAGAGTGGCTTGACTACTTAATAATTTTTATAAAAAGGATACAAATAGGAACAGAAGTCAAATTATTGCAATTTTCAGGTGCTAGATCTTATACTTAAAATATGCTAAAGTCTCCACAAAAAAAACTATTAAGTTTGATAAACACTTTCAGGAAAGTATCAGATACAAAACCAACTTAAAATTTCA